TTGGTAGCACACTGAGCTTCCCCTCTCACCCACTGTGCCTATCCTGCTACTACGGACTGTACCTTAACGTCAAGTTGATGTACGGGACTTAGTTTCTTTACATAGGATACGGGGGATACTGCCGGGGGGTCCGCCGGGGGTATCTCTGCTCCCCCGCACTGCAGGGGCCGCATGGCGGAGGGGCACGTAGCGCGGCCACTGGACTCGGAGAAGAAGAGGGGGCGCACGGCCTCGGAGGGCCCGGCCGAAGCCCCAGGCGAAGGGGAGGCTGGGTCGGGCAGCGGCCGAAGGCCACCGCACAGCGAGAAGGACGGTAAATGGTGTGTCTGCGCTGCTTTCGTTGATGATATAATTATCACTGGAACTGACAAGGAAGCAATCGAGCTAGTACGTACGACCTTTGATACCAAGTTCAAGGGCGATGGACAGTGGGATGAAGTTATCAACAGTTTCCTAGGCATGCATATTGAATACAATGGGAATGAGCTTCTGTTCACCATTTCACTAAGGCACTTAAACCTCCCTTATTCCACCGTTTAGGTTCTGCCATATCTTTGGAGATGAATTTGATACCAACCCCAACTCGCAGTCGTCTATTATCGTCCTCGACACATTTCATGCCCAAATTTATTCTTAAACAACCATGAAATGGGTGTTCGCCATCACCAATCAATTCTGCAACATGTGGCTACAGTGGTTAGACCCACACAGTCGGCTCACTCGATCATCTACATTCCAGTATGTATCTCTCTCTACTTGATGCTGTTGGAAGACAATCTTTGGGCAATTGGCCCCACCCCCTTATATACTCGCCTCATTATCCGATACAATGTGCGGCTCCAGAGGGCCATCTACTTGCCCGTGCCCTCAGACATCTTCGAAGTGAGATTCTTCCTATTCAATCCGCTAACTTGGACGGGCACGGTGCCGTTTGAATATTCGTGTCTGCCGGACAGTTCTTTTGGCAAATATGGTGAAGTTGAATACCATGAAGTCATGGCAAGTGCCATATAAAACTGCTTCGGGGGAGCTTCCGCAAGATTCAAGTAACATGTTGTGGGACCATTTCATTAAGCAACATAATTCAAAAGAACCTGCTCTGAAGTGCTAGCACTGCAAATCGGAGGCGGCTTCACCGCCCAGACAAAGGGCTTGGGTAGATCTACATGCTGTACATTCATGCGGCATAAAAATATGCAGTCATCTTATTGCTGGCCGATGGTGTTCAGTAAATCGGAGATGTTCGTTGCCCAATTTTGTGGGTTAAAACCACCTCCAAAACTATAGCGAGTGCGTCTGTGTCATACACCCATAATCCTTTGTAGCCATGCACCTTGTAATCATCACAAATATGCTACAGTAGACATGCGATTCATATTCGCTTCAAAACTTGCCCATAATTTTAAGACTTCGATCCGCAGGTCCAGTCGTGGGTGCGTCTGTAGGTAGTAAGCTTCAGGTAGAAACCAACATAGCTCGGAGAGATCTGCATCATCCCCGAGACCACTTATGAGCTGGACAGCAGGCTATTCCATGATATAAATACCTCGATAGTAGTTCGGGAGTTTTTCTACAAGCACCTCGAGTGCTTACAAAACCATAATCTACTTTGAGTGCAATTCTGGGGTGTTTCTCATTGGCATGTAGAACGCGATGGCAAACTACTCTCTTGGTGTGAAATTTGTAGCTTCTTCGAGCTTTTGCACACATGTTTAAAATCATATTGGAAGGGAATCGATGTGCTGTGTCCACTCTAGAAGCCTTCGATTTAGAAGACCAAAGGTGAGGTTGGATGTGACCGGAAGAGTCGAGGATAGTGAGTCACTCCAGAGACGCAAAAAAGATGCTATACTTGGCGCATAAAATGCAAGATGATTTAAATCCAACTTTATGCACCAGTCTGAACTAGATGCGGGGCACAAGGAGGCGCCAAATACAGGCGAAGACATAATCATTTGATAAAGGAGGTTAAGGTAGTCTAACCATGCTATGATACGAATCGCCAATTGAAACAAAATCCCTGAGCGTCGACGACCTAATCACAATGACTCTCAAGACCAGTCCTGTGATCAAATGAGGTCCGTGTGTGTGATACGCAGAGGGATGTTGCTCTGACGCGATACTCAAAGAAATAAACATCGAGACTCGAGATGCATCTTAGCGGCAAGCAAGGGGAAGATGCGTGCGACTCTTTTTAGGCTTGCAGCCAAGAGCGGCAACGTTTTGTTCTAGGCAACCAAGGGGGGGACACCAAGAGGGCAGGTGCTCATGATCATATTTGGCACGCTTAGAGGGTAGAAACTAGTGACAGAATATTCGACAGGTACATTTGAATTCGACTACTGCGTCAGGTGTGCTAATCAACGAAAGATCAAGTGTAGTACACACTCGAGTCTCGTGATTCGCCACACTCCAAATTGAAGCGTCTTCGCGGCCTGAAGTGCTTGGTCCACACTAGTATACCTGAGCATTCAACCGCCTCATTCAACCGTAGCCTCCACTGAAGGCTTTTGAGGTTCAGAGGCCATCGTTCTCCGTTTAACGCGCTAACACCAATCTGCGAGCTGAGCTATATTGGGGTGTGCTCTCAAGTCTTCTAGTCCGAATGAGACGTCGATGTCTCGTCGAATGCGAGCAACAAGCTGGAACGCGCCCACTGAAGATAGGCCGTGCACAAAAAAATTAGATGTATCTGATGGCGCTGGGACGCCGATCTCTCAACAAATGACCCTCATCTTATCGAGCTCAGTTGCAGGGTCCATTTAAGACAAAACATCAGAGGGAACATTGCTGCTTGAAACATCTTTCTTCGAAGAGGCTTAAATGCTGATTCAAAACTTGTTCATGGAGTCCGTGTGTACTTACAAAAACCGTCATCTCCAATGAAACCACGCACAGATAGCAGAGTCGCCTAGGAAGATAACATCCCCCGAGCAAGATTCATCAGTTGCTTTAAGCGCCATCGGCCAGTCGCATACGGCACTGTACACATTTTCAACTACTGCTGCTTTCAGTCTTCCACGCACATCATCACCGGTGTTGGGAGCAATGACTTGACAAACAGGAGTGAAGTTCGAGAAGAGCGCATTGTAGCATCACTCACATTCAATATCTTCTTTGATTTCTTCCAAAAAGGGAGATAGGAGTTCTTCGTTATGAACAGGGTGTCGCATGGGCAAAAAAAAGTGCAGCAAGCCCGCTTCGTCGCCCAGGGTGGCAAGTTCAGCCAAGTTATCTCCTTTCCCAGTCACAACGACTGAAGTGGGTGAATTCAGCAGCGCAATATATACGCGAGAGGCACATTAGTCAGTTAGTGCTCAAACTTGACTAATGGCAGTGGCAGGAAATGATAGATTCCATCAAGGAGGTGCCCTTTGGGCACTTTCAGGAAATGCTCTGACAAGAGCAACTGCATTCCTAAGCGACATGGCCAAGCCTAACTTGCATTTGCACCGCATCTCAGAAATGTTCGAAATTCCAGTAGCAACGATTGCGGCAACTGAAAAACCCGCGCTGTGGCCTGTCGTAGCGACCGGATTATCACCCAGTTTGAAGCTAGTTCGATCATATATATGCTATAACCTCAAGAAACCAAGCATTAGAATAACTGGACTCTAGACAGTTGGCAGGCCCGTGTCCCAATCGCTGGGACTGTCAGTTATCTTCGGTATCGTCCACAGGTTGGGTGTCTCACCAACCTCTGTCAATAGCTCCTGATAGTACTCGAAAAGTTCTTTCGCAAGCACGTCTGTCTTTACACATTCTAATATCGCATTCCACGCATCTGCAGGATCTCCGCCCAAACCCTCGAAAAT